GCTCCCGACTCAGGCTGGCGCGCTTAAATCCCGGCGCGGTCAGCACGGATTCGATGGGGCCAGGCCTAAGGACTGAAACCCCACTGGGTCTTGTGCTCAATTGGTCTGGGAAAATGAAAACACCTAGTCTCCTTGGTAGTACCAAAACAATTGGTATATTCCCAACTGGTCCCCAAAACATGACCCACCTAGTCTCCTTTCGTGTTGGTGTTTAGACCCGACCGAGCTTGGCTGAAGGAGGCTCCATGACTCTTATATAACACCTGGTGTGACGATACCTGAATCTTGGGGTCGACATGATGACCTTTCTGGGCATCCCATTTTGCTTCAATAGAAAAAGATGACGTGCCGAGGAGTTTCCAAAGACCCCCACATCGTCTCCGATACGGGCTATAATCAAAAGCGCGACAAAAAAAATAGAAATCAGAACTAGTTCAAGAAACTATCTGGCCCCCGAAAAAACTATTCATCTTTGGACCTATCTGGAGAATGCTAGTCAGACTTCTTAGTAGATGTCTCTTGCTAAAAACAGAAGTCACCCTGATGTTTGTCCAGATTAATCCGAAGATCACACTGGTGAAAGGACTCCCTAAGCCTCACCAAAACACCCTCCGTTGGGCATGAGGGGACCACTTTGAGGTCTCAAGATTCTTGGGGAAGTAAACCCACAAACCCTCCCCCACAAGAATCTTCATCTACATGGTCGTTTGGGGCCCGTTCCCATCAAAAACGTTGGATCCCCACCGAAATTCCCTCGTTTGGATCCCCAAAGACCAACCTGCGCGCATCAAGCGCCCGGACTTGGTGCTGGTGCGCAGCCACATGAGGTAGCTCGGCCTAGACTTCCCCCGAAGGGACACAAGTGGTGCAGACCACATGAGTCTACCACGATTCAAAAGAAAACAACCCGCATCTTTTGGGCTTGGAAGGTTGACTACAAATCAAAAGCTTGATGGATGCAGAGGTCAGTTGAGTTGGCTCGAAGGGTTTGCTCAAAACCTGGAGGGCCTCTGCTTGCTTTGAGCAACTATGTAGATTTCTACATTGTTCCCTACGTTTTCAAATGCCGTACACCCATGGTTGCTTTTCGTGCGTGTTCACTCAATGGGAGGGGTGCCTCTGTTTCCTGGTAAGCCCCTTTCCGCGGTTTGAAAGGGAAACCCAAGGTACCCTAAGGCCCAATTTGCAAGTTCACCCAAGCAGGGCGAGGGGGCCGCTGTTTTGGCCGGTAGGTCAAAGCTTGCCGGAGATCGCCCAAAATGACCCTCAGGAAGAGCAGAAAGTTCCGGTGTGCTCTTGGCGAGCTAAACTTGGGAAGTGGTTGTTTGGCTACTTTTCGGCTTCCGCATCTTGGGGAAAACGGGACACTTGGGAAGTCTGTCGTATGGCGTCCTCTGTGTTTCCCTTTCATTGCCACCCAGGGACAAGAAACTCCTGGCTGATCAATACAAGAGTGCGCAAGGGTGCGCAAGCGTGCCCCATTTTAGAGGGAATCGTCCACTTTGGGGAGGCAACCAGGTTGATTAATCTAGCGTCGGCATGAAACAACTGTGGAAGTGTAAAAAACAAAAAAAACACGCAACAACCCACCAAAACCCTCCAAAAAACCGCCAAACCCGCCAAAAAACTGCAAAAAACAAAAGCACAACAACAAACTCCACAAAGCACCAAACATCCACCAAGAAGTCTGAACCCCAGCCCCCCCCCAAAAAAAAAAGAGAAGGAAAACGCGCAAGCCTCTGGGCTACCCCCGCAGGCTCGAGCGCCTCACCTCCAGCTCCACGAGCTTCTCCCCACTGCGGGCCAGCGCCTGCCAAGTTTGACTGTCCACTGCGATGGTCAAAACCTGTGGCAAGGGCTCATACTGCGGATGGTACGGTACCATGGTCCCTCACAGCCGGCCCAAAAAACGCCAAGGCTGGGGTATCCACGTGCGCCAGGGTCAAAACTACGGCTGTCAGCTGATGGGAAAGGTCCACTATGGCGTTACGTGTGCGACTTGAGATTCCATGGAAGCTTGAAAGCGTGCTGGGAACGCGTCTTGTACGCTCACACTGATGGTACCATAATCCCAAGCCATGGGCCCTTAAAGCCAAGGTTTCTCATTTTTTTAAAAAAAAATGATCCGTGTGGATGGCTTTAAGGGAAAAGCAACAAAGAACCATCTACCAAACGGTTCCCATTTTCCCACATGGGCCTTCCATGCCTTGAAACCTGGGATCCCTAAAAGTGTGGTGTGGGGTGTTATCTTTCAAGGCTACCCTTTCGGGGTTCCGTTAAAGGGAGACTGAAGGAAACAGGAATGTGGTTTAACGGTGTCAAAGTACAAAATGGCTTCAGGCTGGTCTGCCTTTAACCAATCCCCAAAAGGGTACTTTTTAAAACACACACACACAAACACACACACCACACACCCATCTGGGTTTATGTTGTGGTTGGGCAACGATGTGTGGGTTGCTTTCAAGAAACTAGAGGGAAACCACCTATTTTGGGGGTCCCTGGGTATCTCACGATGCCGAAAAGCGCTTCTCTAAAGCGATTGAGAGCTTTCTTGCGGAGGGCGGGAAGAGGGGGGGGGTCCAGTGGCTTGGTTTCCCTCTTCTTTTCAAGTCCAAACCACTAAACTAACGTCAAGATGACAACGCAAGATTACGTTTCCCTTACACGAACCCTTTCTTTGCTGGTAGCTTTACTGCTCAGGAAAATCAAGGGACCACAGAAGCTCCTGGACCATGAGCCTCTGAGATGGGTGCCAAATAGCAACCGTTTCGAAAGCACCCAAAGGGGATGGGTCATTTGTTGAAGATGTTCCACACCTGGCTTTCGCAAGCTTCGAATCCTTTCTTGTTTGGGTGTCCCGCTAAAATGGTTTGGACTACTACTTGATGGTTATAGTCTACTGCTTAACGGTCATACAACCAACCTTCACTGGTCTTGGCATGTTCAGTTGTTCGGTTCTGTTTGTTCTTGTTCTGTTCTTTTTTAAAGAGCTGCTGCAAATCACACGGCTGTCTGCCACATGCCAAGGATTGGAAAGTCTTCAGGAAGTCAAGCATGAAGAATCCAATTCGGGTATGTCGTTTTTTTTGAGGCCGACCCCTTGGGCTTGCTGCAAAAACAGCAGCCAACCGGGGAAAAATCGAACACGGCTCCCATTTCGGGGGTCTCCACGCGGCTCCTCTGCCAGGTTCTTGGCGCTGCCATCCACCTGGCGCGTGTTGCTTGGAGCTGGTATCCCGGACCTGGGCTTGGGAAACCAAGAGGAAACTCCCCATACCTTGTTGGGGGGGGGTTGTGCTAGCCCTATGTTGGGGGAGGGGAGGATACATGCCTTTTTTTTGGGGGGATACATGCCATATGGTTGGGGGGATTTGTGCTAGCCCTATGTTGGCACATACTCACATGGTTAAGTCCGGTGCATGTACTTTGTGAACCTGGAGATATCGAATACAAAATCAACGGAGACCTCAAAATCAAAAGGGTCACGTTCTAGCTGTACTTCCCCACAATGTCAATTCCCAAAAACCCGAAGACCCAGAAGTCTTGACTTCTGACCAAAGGAAAGGTGAACCTTGTTCCGCTCGAAACCCACCCATGTGAAACCTAGAGGTAGACATACTGCACATAGCTGGTTGCCTGCTATAATGGCTGGCCTGAAGCACTGGGCAAGAGAGGTTAGAACAAAGATGGACACTTGGAGCAAGCAGCGTATTGATCCTGTTGATGTTTCAAATTCCTTCGACATAGCCCTTCAAGCGGACAAGCGTGATGTCAGCCCCGTGTCAATAAAACTCTGGTCAATTAAGGTGGTATCCTTTGAGTGGGAATCCTTCACTTTTGTGGGTGACAACCCCCCGATTAATAGGAGGCAGCCATTAATCCAGGGTTCTCTTTATACAGACAGCTTCAATGCAAGCCAGGAGTCATCCTCTCACCAACCAGGGGCAATCATTGAATATCGACCAACTGAAAGGGCATGACTCCAAACAAGTGCTGGTTTGACCCGGAAACTGAGGTTTGCAAAAAAAATAAAGGAACCCTGGTCTGTGTGGGGCGCTTTCACAGTTTCCAAAACGAGGATGGTCCACCCCGACTGCCACCCCGACTGCCAGCGCGCCTTCGCGATGACGTCGCCGCTGCGTATTCTCTGGTCGGAGTCTGCGGGCAGCTGGTCGTTGTAGGCCTGCCTCGAGTCGTGATTCCTCAAGAAACCACCGGGAAACCACAAAAGGCACAGGGAAACCACCAAGAAACCACAAAAAGCCTGAATCACATGAAACTCCAAAAAACCATATCCGTGAAAAACGATATCATGGTGACAGTCAATGCCAGGACATTGCCAAGGCACAAACAAAACTAAGGTACAAGGAGGGAATGAAACTCGAAATCTTTAAGCACCTCATTTCGGTTTCCCAACGGAACTGTGGCAAGCGCCGGCAGACTTAGACGTCCGCTTCACGTCTGGGCGCCCGGGCACGGCGCCTGCGCCGACGGATCGCACCAGGACCAGGTCGCCCTCGGCTCCAAGCTGAGCTGTTCGATCCCCACCCGTTCAGGGGGAGGACGTCTGGAAATGGCTTTATGTTTTTTTCCGCATTTTCTGGGGGTGTGCCACCCAAAAATGTAAGCTGACATTTTCTTCTGGAGACGTGCCAAGATGTAAGATTACGTGGAATCTATGGCAACGGTCGTGGGCACTGGGCCAGTTCCCCACCGTTGCTAAATACTAATTGCTTTTCCACCGTGCATGGCCGCCCCTTGGTCCCTTCTTGGTCGCCCCAAACCACTCAGGGCCCCGAAACAAAAGTTGGCCAGGTGAGCCACGGTCACAATTACCTGCTTCCCCAAGAGGACATTGGAAATGATGTGCTTTTTCCTGCTTCTTGTGTGCTGGAAGTTATTGTGCGACTCCCCCTTCGCATACCATGGACAAGGCAGTTGAAATGTTGACCAAGCCTCAAATCTGTTCAACGAGGCTCCGGTCACCTTCGGGAACCGAAAGCGCGGTTTCACCCGCAACATCCACATGTGGCACCCCCCGTTTCCATCCGGACGCGGCTAGAAACGAAAAGGGAAGCCATGCGTTGACCAAACCACCCGGGGAGCCCAAGATTGTTGTTGTAGCTTCTTCAGCCAAAAAATGTGCTTGCAGGTTCTGCAGATGCAAACCCCGTCTGTGCCGGAGCTTCACATCACCTGAAAACTCTACAAAAAGGGGGTCTTGGGCTTCCCATGTGGCCACGGAACTGTGGAAAAAAACCCAAAAAAACAGACTCCGATGCCCCGCCTTCTCCTCCTTCTTCACCTCCAGACCTAAAGTGCCGCCCTTCTTCCGCTCCACCTTCACCGTCTTCTTCTCCTCGGCAAAAAAAAGAAACGGAGGCGGATCACCCGCAGCTGAAATCTCAGGGCTTGGGTCGGATTTGCTGGGGCTCTCCAGCCCCAAACTTGGAGCGCCAACGGCTACGCTCAATCACCTACTACTCCAATACCCAGCTCCAAACACCTGCCAGTTCTGTTGGGCAAGGTTTCCCAGAATAAATGCCTCTCTTGTTAACTTTTCGAACTTTGCAAGCCTTGCAAGTGTCCAACTTTTGAAACTCGCGAACTTTTGACTTCGGAACCCTTCAAAAATGAATGCGGCCCCCCTCCTCTCCCCACATTGGGGACCAAGGGGTTCCGAATCGGGCCCACCTTTTCCGGCCCAAATATCGTTCCGCAATAAAACAATCCGATAAATTTAAGCAGCAGAAATCAACGTCATGATCGGATATGTGTTTAAATTTGGCAGTCTGGAACATATTATATGAATGAGTAGGATGCATATATGGAATAGGGGGAAGTTATGGAGCTTTCCCAGCAATCGAGCTTTGCAGCTTTAGACAGGGGCTGCTCCGCGCATGTCCCTGCTCCCAATAGCTTTGCATATTTTCCATGTTTTGGGATTTTCAGTTTGTTGGTTCTGTTCATTTTTGGGTTGCTGCCAACAACCATGTGTTGTTTTCTCACATGCCAAGGATCAGACAAGTACAAAAAAATGAACAAAACACTTTTCAAGCAGGTCCCATGTGAGTTGCCCCTCTAGAGAATGTGGGCTTTTAGTGTCCAAATGAAGAATGTGCAGTGGCCTTGCAGAAACTTCAACTTGTTCGCAAAAGGGCAACAAACACAAAAATATATCAGTACCGTCGACATGTGTACACTGCCGTGCCACTGCTTCAAGATCATTGCCTTGGTACTACTGTCAGAAAGATAAATAGTCACAGCGACCTGCCTGCGCTTCAAGATCACTGCTTCGACCGCCAAACAGTAGCAGTTGTTCTTTGAACTACGCTTCAACATCACTGCTTTGACCTCCAAAAAGAGACTTGACTTGCTGCGCCATGAGCGTCAGGAGCAGTTGTTCTTTGAACTCAGACGTGGGCGCGACCGCAATTCAGCGTAAAGTGAGTAGTATTCCTCGTCTCAGTGGAGCCCGCAAAAGCTCAGTCAACATGTCCTGATGTTTTCTGCAAAAAAGTTTGCGAAGTGGGTTGCTATGTTTTGAGGGTAGCCCTTGTTGGCTTGCTTCAGTGGAGTCCCCATTTTAAGACAACCCCTTCGGTTTGGTCAGTCCTTGGGCCCGTTTCGAACAGAAACGGCCACAAATTGCACCTGAGGCCCCCCGCCAGCTTCCCGCCGCCTCGGACACTTGGTCTGCGTCCCCTTTCAGCTTGTGTCAAAGTAGGAGATGGAACCGCAAACTGCAATGCAAAAATCTGAAAGGAATTCCCGAGTAAGGGACCTTTATGTGTCCGCTCGTTTGGTTTCCGCATCGGTGAGGCAGGCCAATGATTTGTCCAGATTGATTGAAGGTGAGTGAAGGTTAGCAGGCGGGCTGCGCCACCATGGCTATTAAAGGCTTATACATAGGCCTCATTCTACACACTCAACAAGAAAATAGAAGTGGGCAAACTACTATAATTGTGCTTGTCTCAAATGGATTTCAAACCCCCCGCCGCCAAAAAAAAGGCTTCGGGGTCCAAAAAGGGCGACCCTCCCAGAAACCGGGAACCACCCTCAATTGGGCGTGCCTCAAAAAAAAGCTGGAACGGCAAAATGGGCTTCGGTGTACTTTTTGGCTTCCCTTTGGCCTCCAACAGGACGACTCACACAAAAAAAAGCGGGAACCGCCCCACCCGACTGCGCGCGCGCGCGCGGCCCCCAATTTCGAACCCAGAGCCACATTTCTCGAGGCCCGCGCGGCTGGTGAAGCAGGACCCGGTGATGCAACTGGGCCGGGGCCGGACGGGGGGGCCGGACGGAGGGGGGGGGTGCAACGAGTGCCGAAGGCACCTGGAAACACCGGAAGCCACTGAGGACTTGATGTCCGACCTAGCGCCCAAAGATGGCTAAGGCTAAAAAACAGCTGAAAACAAGCACAACAGACCAATCTTATGGGTCAAGCAGGTCGATTTGTTTGTTCAATCACCTCTGGGCGGATGGGTGTCTCATGTTTCACCCCCTGAATGCCTGCCGCAGCTGGCTCAAATATCTGCCCCATACTGCTGCACAGCCAATTCGCCAGGTGGCCACGGGGGGGTCGACAACTCCCCACAAGGCAATGACCCTTCCTTGGCCCGAAAAACGTGAAGATTGTGTTCACCAGTCAAGGGTTGACATCATCAGATTTTAAAGTCGGGGGCACTTGACATTTGCATGTCCAAGCGATGTTCAAACCTATTCGAGGGGCCATTGAAGGGCCACGCAAGGACCCCAGCCACGGGATGCGTTTTTTTGGTGGGCTCATGACTCGTATTTCTGCGGGGGTAGGGTGTGTGGAGGGGAGGGATGATTGGAAAATAAGCTTTGGGGTGCCGTGAGGGAGGCAAGCTCTCGAAATTGTCCTTTGGGGGTACGCCAAGTGTTTTGTTTCACCCTCCGCACTTGATAGGTGACGCTACATCCGTCGAAGCAATTGAAGATTTCACGCCTGCACTAATTCTGCAAGTTGCAGAATAGTTTCAAAACCAAAACCAAAAATGTCCCAAGTAAAGGACCTACATGGTCGCCCTGAAATAGCCAGATGAATCTCAACAGCCCAGGGCGTGAAAATACGGAGAGCGGTTCCAAAACCCATGGGGCTTCTGCTCCGGTCGCCTGGGACGAATATGGACCGGTCCTTCTTTTCAGAGCGAATAGAACCAATCATTTGACTACCGACCAAATGTCTCATCGTGTGTGGCATCAACGCGTTGATGGAATGAATTCTAAACAAGTCCAGCTTGATGAAGGGTCAAGAACCCAAGTCTCCTTTGGTCAGCTTGGTTGAAAAGAGTGGCACTGGTTTTGGTTTGGCTCCGATGAGTTGCCAGCGCCCTCTGTGTGTTGAAAACGACACCTATGGTCAAGAGTCAGGATTTTCTGATGGTATCCTCAACTTCGTGAGAGTCAAGAACTTGCAAAGCCTGCACAGCACTACCAAAAAACCTGCAAAAATCCGCAAAGTCAACAACAACCTACCAAAAAACAAGAAACACAAACCCAGAACAATCAAAAAAGAACGACAGCCCACACCAACCCACTGGAAGCACATATGGGTTTGAATTTGAATGGGGCACCCTATGCTGGACATCATTTGCAGGTGGGGATTCATGTCCACGAGACCACTTTTGAGGCTGAAATTCACTGCCAAATGAAAACGTCCCGCGCGCCGAGTCACTAGGCTGAGCTGACGCCCGCGTAGCCGCAGTCTCGTCTGGACTTCGAGTCCACCTGTTCAACTTCGCCGAGATTGGGGACTAGACTTTGCAGTGCTAACATTGCAGGTAATTTTATATTCTCTGTCTTAGAGTTTGCTCAAAATAGTGGACACCCTGTTGCCAACACTTCTTCAGTGTCGCCGATAGTGTGTCTCAAAATAGTGGACCCCTTTTGCCAAACCAGCCAAAACCACCCTTCAAAACCAAAAGGACAAGTTGGTGGTTGCCTAGAACGGCTTGCGTGGAATCTGGGCATGCCTTGTGGCCATTGAAGAGAACAAAGGACAAAGGACACCAAGCCACCTATCCAAACCACAGATTGCCTGAGTCTGAGTCGAGGCCAAGGAGGGTTTGGCCTTCCAGCCATTGGCGTCAACATCCAAAGAGAAAACGCACCTCTTTGGCAAGCAAGGTGATGGGGATTTCTCTGGGCTTCCCCAAATGCTCACCATCGCAAAAACGAGGCATCCGTTGCAAAAAAAAGAAAGGACCCTTTGTTCGGGTTACTTCCCTTGTTACTATTTGGCAAGAACCACCATCCCAACAAAAAACATCTAAGGGCACCTTGGGAAGGAAGAAGAGTTGTCCTTTTCGTGTCACTTTGTTCACGCGCCAACGGGGGGAAGAGATAAAAGCAACATCTTGGGCTGCATCCAGAAATGGCGTTCTACGGGTTTCGCCATCCCAAAAAGGGGTGGGTGCTTCCAAACCGACAAAACACCCTTTTGGGTGGGTGTGCTTTTGGTGTCCCTTTTTCGACCCAACCAACTTGTTTCGGCCCGCGCATGGCCCCACCCAAACCAAACAAGTCTGTCCAACCTGTGGCATGACCAAAAACTTAGCTGCTTCACCTTAACCCTAATTGGTGGTTTTGGAGCCGGTGGTTTGGAGGTGTGGAGGTTGGGTGATTTCCCATTTACCCTTACAAAAGCCAGGGGTTCAAATCCCCAAACCACCAATCCAAGCCACCAGTTACGGGCTACTTGATTGTCTGCGGCCCAAAAAGAAATTCGAACAGAACCAAGCCACAACAGAAGACGTCTGCTAAGTGACATGGTACAAATAGGGAACAGCAGGAAAACATGCAAAGAGCCGTGCAGGAAAATAGGTGGCCTTTTTAAAAAATAGAGGGCCCTGGTACATGGAATCAACCCGACCTAAACCAGCGCCATCCATTTGTTTTTTTATCAAACTACCCAAGCGGTGCAGGAACCTTTCACAGGCCTGGCAGGGCTCGTAGAAGGCCATGATCCAAAGACCTCTCCGCTGGACTCATGGAATTTGCTGAATTATGAAAGATCTTTCAAAAGTTGGACCCCCAAGGATGTGAAATTGCGCTGTGAAGAAACCGACAAGTTGAACTTGAGTTGTGGGAAATGGCCCGAAACCTTTTATACCGTTCAGCGCTTGATTCCCCAAATCCCATGACGTCGCTTCAAAGGGGATCGCATTGGTAGCACAAAAAGTGGCAACCTGAAAGCCATGTCGAGAAATAAAGCGGCCCCGGGTTCAATCAGTGTGTCAAAATAGTCCAACTATATCCACCCACCCACCCACCCACCCACCCACCCACCCACCCACCCACCCACCCACCCACCCACCCACCCACCCACCCACCCACCCACCCACCCACCCACCACCCACCCACCCACCCACCCACCCACCCACCCACCCACCCACCCACCCACCCACCCACCCACCCACCCACCCACCCACCCACCCACCCACCCACCCACCCACCCACCCACCCACCCACCCACCCACCCACCCACCCACCCACCCACCCACCCACCCACCCACCCACCCACCCACCCACCCACCCACCCACCCACCCACCCACCCACCCCACCCACCCACCCACCCACCCACCACCACCCACCCACCCACCCACCCACCCACCCACCCACCCACCCACCCACCCACCACCCACCCACCCACCCACCCACCCACCCACCCCACCCACCCACCCACCCACCCACCCACCCACACCACCCACACCACCCACCCACCCACCCACCCACCCACCCACCCACACCACCCACCCACCCACACACCCACCCACCCACCCACCCACCCCACCCACCCACCCACACCACCCACCCACCCACCCACCCACCCACCCACCCACCCACCCACCCACCCACCCACCCACCCACCCACCCACCCACCCACCCACCCACCCACCCACCCACCCACCCACCCACCCACCCCACCCCACCCACCCACCCACCCACCCACCCACCCACCCACCCACCCACCCACCCACCCACCCACCCACCCACACCCCCACCCACCCACCCATACCTGCGAGTACAAACTCCGATTCCCAGAGCCGTCTCTGACTTCGCGCGGGGCCCCCGGCAGAATCCCACAAAGCCCAGGAAGAACACCACGCGCCTCCGAAACCCCAAGCCCCGATAGGGCGGATGGGACTCAGGATGGTGGGGTACTTGTTCCAAACGGGGTTCCTCAAAACTCGTCGATTCGAAAGGTACTACTCAGTGCTCAAATCGCATGGAATTCTGGGTGTTCCTCGAGCCTCTTGGCGACTTCTATTGGTTTCCCTCTAGAATCATCCCAACGAGGGTCCACCATTTTGAGAACCTCGCCTAAAGGGGGGGGTGCTTAGTTATGAGCAAATTACCCCAAAAAGGGGCGCCCATTTGATTTATGGATGTGCTTGTGTGTTTTGTTGAGGCTCGGTACCTTTTGGGGTAGGTTCAAAGGATCATGCATGGTTTCAAAAACCATTCTCCCTAGAAAAGCAACACAAAGAACATGGATCTACTTGCCTGGGAACCATACTGGAAGCTCCACAAGCTTCAAAACCTGACACAAAGCAAAACGGGCCTCCAACAAAACGAGCCTCCCAATGGCAAAATACCTGCTTTTTTCAGGGTATGTTTAGGAAAGACCTGGTTTCCCATGGTAAATGCCTCCTTTTTTAGTAGAAGTTTGACATGATACCCTGAGAAAAGAGGGTATTTGGAATAAGAGGTAAGTGTTCCTTCACCTCATCCCCGCTCTCCTTTTTCCTTTCGCGCTGCTCACAGGAAGCGGCGCGATCTCCCTCGGCCTGGGTTCGCAAAGGCGTACGCGGCACCCTGGGGCTGAGGTGTTCCAACAATGAAAAGTTACCATATGCGTCTGTCTTTTTTGGGGATACTCCTGGTTCTAAATGGAAACCAAACAAAAAAACACAAAGACACGCCCTGTAGGTGCTCAATTCCTATGTCACAGGGTTGTCTGCTTGCGCACACAAGCACGAGATTGAGATTGGCCTTCTGCCAGCAAGGAACACCTGGCTCAAGCACTTTCTTTCCCACAATCATGGAAGCTGACAAAAGGATTCGGACAGGTTTCCGTCCCCTTGGAAAGGCCACAAAGGTCCACTTTCATGATTGCTGGAAAGAAGACATCCGAGTTCCCAACCAAAAACGGAGTGCTTCCCTTGAGCCACCATTTGAAAAACCTCTCAAACCCTCATGAGTTCGGTCGCGATCCAAACCCTGCACGAGGCCGATCGCGGAGATTTTGCCCGGAATCGTTGCTCTCTTCCCCTCACTCCACTAACGCCTGTTTGTTTAATGTGGAATATTTGGATTGTTTTTCTCGTGGTACGCAATTTCCCTGTTTTGTCAGGGGTCGACATCATGCCCCAAAAGAAAGAGTCTTGGGCAGGAACCGAAGGGAAACCAACCGTCTTAGGAATTTCGAAATACCCATTGGCTCATAGCTCTTGGCGGTTGGTTCAGTCCGTCGGAGCGCCACAAGCAACCGGGCGTCCATTGATGTCTTCCCTTTTCGGACAGCTTCGGCTTGCACCTCCCCAACTTGGGCGATCAAGAACTTAGTCCCTTTCAAATGCGAAACACACCATGTTTTGTCCTGGCGATCGCAACCAACTCCTCACCTGTTTCTCCGGGGCCCCTGACTTTCACCAAGGGTTTTTCGAACCAAACCCATCCAACCACCTGCGCCGGCGCGGAAACCAAACTCCGCTCAGGCCACCGCCTGCTTTGGGCCTCGAAGGCTCACAAGTCGGACGAACAGCCACGAAAACGCGTTCTGGAAGAACCCAGTGCCAAGGGTATATTTGGCTGTGGGTCAGAAGCATGTACCAAAATGGCACCTGGGCAAATGGAACCAAAGACTAAAACCGGTTACCGTAACCCTGGCTCTTTCATTTTGAGCCACGCCCATTTGAATATGTGTCACGAAAAATGTGCGGATCCCTTGAGGTGTCCAATGAAAAACCAACCCCAAAAAGGGTACTGTACTGAGTCTCCAAAAGACATGAGCCCAGTTTGAAAACCTGTTCATTGCAACTTGGTTTAGCCAGGGGTTGACCTCATCTGCACAAAGTTCCGACCGCATTTTGTGCCACCCGAATGGGTGTTGCTCCGGTGTAACCGGGCCAGAAAACCAATATTCGCAAGAGGAGCGGACAGCACGGCGGAGTTGAAACCAAAATGAATCTCTGTTGAAAAAGATACCCTCCCTTCCACCATGGAACCTGGAATGAGTGGAAGACGATTCTCCTCAAGGGACCCTCTAGTGGGTTCCATGGTAGACAGAACCTACCCAAAACTCCCAAACATCCAGGGGGAGTCAAGGGGGCTGCCCTTGCACAAATCCCTTCTTCTTCCTCGCTAAGATATAAACCCAAAAAGTGATGTTGAATACCACCGAAAACGGATATATGTGGACCCCCTGAAGCACGTCCCACATTGTGGCCCAAAGGGCCGATATCTCTCTGACGAAAAGGCCGAGAGCGCTCAGAATGGGAACATACAAGAGTAAGACGTTCATCCTACCGTGGTGTCGATCGGTGGCACGATTCCAATCGGCTCTTGGAATCAAATGGGAGGAGGAACGGTCTTCATACTAAGGGACAAGGCAAGCAAAGGGAAAAAGGCCGTGGCCCAAGCATTTTCTGACACCCCAAGCCACCAATTCACATTTTGAGAGGTACCCCTTTTTGAGGCTGGTCACAAAGGAAATCTAAGGAAAACCCATTACTTTCGGGTTCTTAGACACCATGTGTACAAACCCGCAGAAAACACGAACCAAACCCTCGCGGCAAATTCCCCCGCCTCTCTGCCACATTCCACGGCCTCGGACGCATCGGATTTTCTGAGCGGGCTTTGCGGGGGTGTGCGGTGTCGCAGTCGTGCCAGGCCCTTGTTTAAACAGGTTTAGGATCCGCTGACAACCTTCGTGATTCCATTTCTCTGGTTTTGTAGGTAAGAAGTGGAACCAGACCAACTGAAAGCGAGGAAAATGGATCGAAGGGTTTATTTTACTGGCTCGCCTGGGATCCTCTGGGGCATGAATCCACCCTCACAACCTCCTTTTGGTGCCTGCCAAGCAGGGCTTTCAACCCAAAACTGGGGGGCGCCTCTGGCCGGGGAACTGAGAGCTTGGAGGTCCTCATGTTTTCATGTTTCAACAGAACGGCACATGAGAAATCCAAACAAGGCAGCGTCCCAAGAAGAGACCACAAACACCAGGGCAGAAGTCACCTGTCCCGTCGGATAGAGCCAGGGTTTTCCCCCGGTCTCCGGAACTCAAGCGGCACCGGTCTCCCCACTGCTTTGGGGATCCGATCCTTCGAAACATGCGCCCAAACCAAAACGAACGGTGAACCTCTCCGAAAAAGCCCAGGCGTACCTTCCATGTGTTGAGTCTGTTGATGGTCTGTCGTCCCCTCCCAGTTTGTTTAGGGAAACGTGTCACAAGGTAGAAAGCTTCATTCATGCCATCTACCAGCTGGTTTGGAGCCACTTGCACATTGGTGTTTTTGCGCGCATCCTTTAAAGAACCCTCTCCTTCCTGTTGGTTTCGAAAAGAATCAATAAAAAGGCGAGCCAAAGGGAAGTTCTCTTGCCCAAAAGTAGAGACCCAGCGCTTCCCGCCGGCAGAAGCTTAACCCGTTTCGGCATACCCAACATCACTCGAAATGGTGGCTTTAAGGGAAACCACCCAAATGTAATTTTGAGAACCCCTCAAAAAATGCTCTTGGGTCCTCTTTTCTGAACCTAAAGTGGCTTTTCCGGATGACAGCAACGACCGAAACCCAAATGAGAATGGTGGGGCCGACCCCTGTTCAAACATGCGAAAGAATGGTTGTTCGCCAACTTGCAGATGTTCAAACCAATTTTGCCCCATAACCGGTTCCCCGACCAACCTGAGCGCGAGCCAGGAGCCCGGGCGTGCTCAAGAAAGCGGGGGCTTCGAGCATGAACACCGCGTAGTTCTGGCAATTTTCGCACAGGTAGCTTTTGGAGGGGGGGAGGCCCTGAACAAAGCGCACCCTGAAAGAAAACGGTTGATTGGCCAGGTGGAAAATGACCGGTTCTACGGCTCGAGAATTGGTTTATTCGGTGTCCTTTTGGAAGAAATGGAAGGCGGTAAATGAAACTATTGGAATTCAGCCAAACATTACCCACAAGGACACCTATGTAACCAGCTGTCCTTTCAACCCCGCATACCTTGCTTCAGGCCAGTGTTCCGTTGCGCCAAACACTTTTCGGGCATGTGCAAACCACATCTATAACAAGGGTGTGTCGTTTCAGGGCTCCAACAGCCAAAAAGGACACCCAACACACTGCCCGATTTCCGGGGGAAATAGCAAAACAGGCGTGCTCCCAGTCTAACCGTGGGCAGCCGCTATACCTGCACGTGCCCGACACATATGAGAAAGCGTTTGAGCCAAGATCTGTTCCGCGTGTGGATCAAAACATGCCTTACAGTAGGATAGCTTATGACTCCACGTGTACGAAAGACTTGGATTTACAGGTGTATACAGATCATATACATATATGTATATAAATGCGCATACGCTCCGCATAAGTGTATTAATTTACACATTTGCGTACTTGCTGTATGTCCTTGTTTTTGGTGCACGATTGCTTTCATTTGCTTGTTTAGTTTATGCATGCATGCATGCATGCATGTATGTGTGTAGGTATGTAGGTATGTATGTACGTACGTACGTATGTATGTATGTGTGTATGTGTATGTGTGTATGTGTGTATGTGTGTATGTGTGTATGTGTGTATGTGTGTATGTGTGTATGTGTGTATGTGTGTATGCGTGTATGTGTGTATGTGTGTATGTGTGTATGTGTGTATGTATGTATGTATGTATGTATGTATGTATGTATGTATGTATGTATGTATGTATGTATCTGTATGTATGTATGTATGTATGTATGTATCTGTATGTATGTGTCTGTATGTATGTATATGTATGTATGTATGTAGGTATGTATGTCTGTGTGTATGTATGTATGTATGTATGCATGTATGTATGTATGTATGTATGTATGTATCTGTATGTATGTATCTGTATGTATGTATCTGTATGTATGTATCTGTATGTATGTATGTATATGTACGTATGTATGTATATGTATGTATATGCATGTATGTATGTATATTTATGTATGTATGTATGTATGCATGTATGTATGTATGTATGTGTGTGTATGTATGTGTGTATGTGTGTATGTATGTATGTATGTATGTATGTATGTATGTATGTATGTATGTATGTATGTATGTATGTATCTGTATGTATGTGTCTGTATGTATGTATCTGTATGTATGTATCTGTATGCATGTATCTGTATGTCTGTATGTATGTATGTATGTATGTATGTATGTATCTGTATGTATGTGTCTGTATGTATGTATCTGTACGTATGTATCTGTATGTATGTATCTGTATGTATGTATGTATGTATGTATGTATGTATGTATGTATGTATCTGTATGTATGTATCTGTATGTATGTATCTGTATGTATGTATGTATGTATGTATGTATGTATGTATGTATGTATGTATGTATGTATGTATGTATATGTATGTATGTATGTATGTATGTACAGGAGAGGAACTAGAATTCGTCCGCGCAAGGCAGGCGTGAACACGGACCCCGAAAGTGACCCCCTGCAGCGCTCATCGCTGGCAACACTTGGCGGACAGGCGCGCGCCACGAAGACCAACCAAATACGAGACACACACGCGCACGTTACCGCGTTACGCAGCACCGAGTAACTGAAACTAAGTCTGCGCCGAAGGCGCGGAGAAATAAGGTGAGCCTGGGAACCCAAAAGCAAGTCCACAAAGTGCCCCCCCACTGATGGCTCCGAAAAGTGGCGCTCGAAGATCTTTGTTCCGATCTTGGATCGCAAGCCTCGCACTTAAAAACCTGCCGGCCACCGGTCGCAACCCAGGCTCCCATCGCGGAAAACTTCGACTACACGAGAACCCATCGCATCAGAGCTGCTTTTGGGAAAAAAAAGCAGGCACGCCCGCGCCGAAGGCGCGGAGGAAAAAAAACAGCACTGACAAGGGACTGGCTGGCAGGGACTACGCCAAGTCTCATTGAAACATGTAACATACCGCTTTGAAACAGCCTGCTTCAAGCGCGCGGGCCAACATGCTGGAGCTAACAAATTCCAATAAGAAACCTGCTGGGAGCTACAAAAATCTACAGAAAGCTATAGAAAGCTAACAGACAACTAACAAAAGCTAAAAAAGGCTAACGCAGCAACTGTGCAGCAAAAAAAATCCAACAAGGCTTTCAAGAGCATGAACTGGCAACAAAAAGAAAATGCCTCATTATGAGGCAGTCCACCCTTAACCCCGCGCCATGTTTGGAAGAACGTTCACTTGGGCGGCTGGGTGGCTGGGTCGCTTGCCTCCGTCCCCAAGATACGTTCAGTTGCTTGCGCGTTGAACGCACGAACGGCAAGATCACGACGGAGCCGGGCCTCTTACAAAGCACCTATGGAGACACCGCAGAACAATCCCTAGTCTTCGCTGGCCCCTGAACTGCTCGCCTGGCCATTTCTGCAAACATGCTACTGCTTCTCAGCTAAAACGCTCATGGCGCGCGATGGGTTTTGTGTCACATTTCACGCATTAAGGCAGCCCAGCGTGACAAAAGTGTTTGCTGCCTCCCCCCCCCCCCCAAAACCTGCTGAAGTTTACAAAAAGGCAACAAATGGCGCCAGAAGCTACGAAAAGCTAACAAACTCTAACAAAAGCTAACAAAAGCTAACAAATGCAAAAAAATGCTAACAAATGTGGCAGCCTTTGCTGCCGGACTGGCGCTTTTCAGTAAGGCGGATTTTTTGGCAGCCTTTGCTGCCGGACTGGCGCTTTTCAGTAAGGCGGATTTTTTGGCAGCCTTTGCTGCCGGACTGGCGCTTTTCCGTAAGGCGGATTTTTTGGCAGCCTTTGCTGCCGGACTGGCGCTTTTCCGTAAGGCGGATTTTTTGGGCAGCCTTTGCTGCCGGACTGGCGCTTTTCCGTAAGGCGGATTTTTTGGGCAGCCTTTGCTGCCGGGCAGCCTTTGCTGCCGGACTGGCGGTTTTCAGCAGGGCGGATTTTTTGGCAGCCTTTGTAAGCTACCAGCTTGCAAGGACTGCTGCCCAGGCGGTGGGCCTGGCCAGCGCAGAACAGTGAAATTGAGGCTGTGCAACCGAGCAACTTCGGAGCAATAAAGAAAAAGTTTTGCTGGACAGTTTTTTTCTGCTTGACAAGGTTGCTCGGTTGCTCTCTGAAATTTTCGCAATGTACAGAAATTCGCCTGAGACCAGTCCGCGCAAAGCTGGGCCAAGGTCCCCAAAAATCCGGAGCAATGAAAACTAACCCTGCACCAAGGCTTTCTGAAACCCGAGGCAGTTAAAAAACTAGCCCCTCGGGGGCTGTGTCTGTTAATCACACTTTCACCAACAATCCCAGGGCCTTCACCAACAGGATTATCGCAGGAATAGATCCGGGGCCTACAAAGTCCATTACCAATCCGGACCACAGGGGCCGCAGCCGCAACGCAACCCAAGATCGGCTTGCTTCTTCCAGCTTGGTTGGACAAAGCGCGGCAGCGCTCACTTGAGCCAAAAGCGAAAAACCAACCAAAACAGGCGGGCGACCATACTCCCCCCGAAAATTCGGCAACCCAAAGAATTTGATTTCTCGTAAGGTGCTGAAGGAGTCGTTCAATCCAATCTGTTGTTTCGACCCCCTACCTTTCGTTCTTGATCAATGAAAACATCCTTGGCAAATGTTTTCGCAGAAGTCCGCCTTTAACAAATCCAAGAACGTCACAGTGAAATACGAATGCCCCCAACTATCCCTCTCGATCATTACCTCAACACTAGAAACCAACAAAAGGGAACTGAGGTCCTATCTGGTTATTCCTGCACGTCTGCTTCCGTGCAGGCAAGACTTGGCTCGATTTCTGGAAACAACCGTCTTTCCTGCGAGAAGAAAACACACTGTGCCACCAGTCAATGGTGCAATCTTCAAGCGTGCGCAGGCTTCATCTTCATGATGGGCATCCAAGTCTGAGTCTTGTCCGTCTCTTTGCAGGCAACAACACGCTTGCTGGAAAACATGTACCTAAGGTAAAACCTTAAACGCCGTGCCACACAATGAAGCGCTGGCACGATCTCCAGTAAGATGTCAAAGCAGAGCCAGATGTGCACCCTAGCCAAAAATCAAATTGCCTCGATGGCCTAACTTTCGTTCTTGATCAATGAAAACATGCTTGGCAAACGCCTTTGCGGCAGCCCGTCTTCAACAAATCCAAGACTTTCACCTCTGACAAACAAAACCAATGAGGGTAACAGGTTTACGCCGCTGCGCGCACACACATGCATGCGCCCACGCGCGCGCGCGCATGTTCCGCGTAAGCAACAAAACAAGCGAGGGTAACTGGTTTACGCCGCTGCGCGCGCACACATGCATGCGCCCACGCGCGCGCACACACGCTCGCAGCCACGCGCGCGCGAACGTTCCGCGCAAGCAACAAAACAAGTGAGGGTAACCGGTTTCCGCCGCTGCGCGCGCACACGTGCATGCGCCCACGCGCACGCCAGACGTTCGCAGCCACGCGCGCGCGCGCGCACGCGCGCCGCTGTAACACGCGCGCGCACGCGCCCGCGCAAGCACGAACACACTTCCACAGCCGCTTTACACGCCGGCCAGAAGCGCGCGCACGCGCCCGCGCAAGCACGAACACACTTCCACAGCGACGCCAAGCAAGAGGCACTGTGTAGGCCAGAAGCCTTGCTACTTAGCCCTTACTTAGCCCTTAACCAGGGCTCTCTCATGCACCTTAAACACCAAACCAGTTGAAACAACGCCAACACGCACGGGAAGCCTGCGCGCGTCAATGGCAAAAGCATTGAAAGCAACGCCGATATGCGCGCGGGAAGTCCGTGAGCGCTACTGACTGCCAC